TAACTCTCAGTACATTGGCCAGAGAAATGAATTTTTTTGCCAAAGTTTGCATAACAGTGAGACACTACTGACATATGGCTACCCTAAAGTGATCAATCTGACTCTCATGGTACAGAAATTAGGTAGGATAGATGCTGTTTCTTTTGGAGTCTTGTTATGCAACTGGGCTCTGTGTTTTTATGACTGTTTCCTAATTATTTGCAAAAGGATTTGTTAAAAGCTGCTGTTATTATCTAGAAAAGCACAGAATTTCCTGTTCCTGGTTTTCTTTTTTTCTCATGCGTAAAATATATCTGTCACTAAAAGAATTAGAGACATTCCTTTCTATTTTCCAGCCAAGATCAGGGCTTCATTGTGCTATGGCCATATGGACATAGGAAAACAAAAAAACCTAAACAGTGCCCCAAAAAGCCTGCATTTTAATTAACTTAGACTCAAAGTTTGGAGAAAATCACTACTTTGCAGACTTGGGAAAGATTTACAGAGGGGAGAAAGAGGTGTCCCAACAGCCCACAGAGAATCTTTGGCAGAGCTGGGAAGCCAGGTTCAGAGAGACTGGACCCAGTCTAGTGACTCAGTCACAAGGGTCACACAGTTGGCCCCCTGAAAGTACTCTACAGCTGTGCCATGACATACGTGCACAGATGCAGAGTACTTTTAAAGTGGCTGATCACACAACAAATTAACCCTCATCAAATGAGGTATCAGATGAAGGTGTTCCACTTTAGAGTGCCTTAGGAAACTTCTGTTCCTTAGGGCTAATTTGTAGCATGATAGGGGCTGATGCAGCTGAGCCCCACCCCGGGTGGCTGTCAGCAGGAACGGAGGGGGAGGGAGGAGGGAGAGCGAGTTGCCAGCTGAGGTTTGCCTGCCCTGAGCTGAAAGAGGGTGGGAGACAGGTGAATCAGAGCTCTCCCCACCTCGCGCCCCTTCAGCCCCACCCCTCCAGCTCAGGCCAGGCAAACCCCAACCAGCAGCTCATTCCCCCTTGCCCTTCCCTTCTTGCTGACAGCTCTGGAGCTGGGGGGAGAGGGGTGACTCCTTGGCTGCAGGCAGGCTTCTCAGGCTCCTGCAGGCAGGCTCAACTTCTGCC